AAAATCCACTTCAAATCATTATTTAATCGATAAAACAGAAAATGCAATCCACCAACGGTCAACTACCCGCCAAAATTTCCACCGAATAACTTATATAGTACAAACACTTATTTTTCACCCTTCTATTTCTACAGAAGTTTATGATAGATTAGTTAAAATTCTCCTTGTATTACTTAGGCAAGTTATACCTCCTTACTTGTTACTGCAGCTAAGCACGTTACGTGTACTGCTGGATTTCAGTCTGAGGGGTGTACAGAACCAGTAATACAGCCCTCCAGATAAAGAGCACTTATATAGTATGCCTCAGTACCAGTAAGAGAATAAGAGGAGACCCCCCTCTTGCCTACACTGTTGCGCCCGTACCGCAGCCGGTTTACAGAGGCAGCGACGGCCCGCAACACATTGTCGTCATCTACCGTAGCATACTGCCTGCATATTAAAGTTGTACATTTGATATTTATCATATCCTGTTATCAGTGACAGCTCACATCGCAAATTGTTGGAAATGTAATTTAATTGGTGGATTATTATTGTGGATAATTTAATCGCGGTTTATTTACTTATTTTTTATTTTGCCAACGTTTCTGGTGTCGGCGGTCTGAGATATTAAACCTTCTGCCACAGCCAACACGTCCTTTTGATAGAGACAAAATGATGTGTGATAGTGTATTATCTTACTTGCTCCTCTACTTCACGGTATAATTAGATGAAGAGAGTCAATGAAAAGGTTTATAAATGTAAAATATAAGAGTGGCAGACAAGTTGAAAGTGTATACTTGATGGTAAGTGGCTGTTGCAGTATACAGTAGCTGCACCCAAACTCAAACAAGGAAGACAGCAGATGTGTTTGTGGCAGTTCTTCACATAACAACGCAGCCGGCTACGTAGTACGCGATGAGCATTTCCCGCTTCCGCAGGGTAGCCCTTTTTTGTCTGTGAATGAATGTGAAAGAAACGAAAAAGGTGTGTCCTGAACGTGCCAAATGTGTGTAGTCTCTTTCTACGTTTACGTTTTTGTCACAAAAAGCTTGTTTTTGCCTGTCGTAGCCATAATAACCAGCTCTTAAAAACCGTTACATACTGCTAAATTAACAAAAATATTTATTTTAAAAATTTAATTAAATAATATTATGTCTTACACTGGACAATAACCACGTTACATTCATACATTCATTTATGCAGTCATTACAGCCTATAAAAGTCCACTCCTGAACATAGGCCTCTACCACGGATCACATTACCGGGAGAATTTTGCCATAGTTGCCACGCCTGGTGGGCAGGTTGGCTAACACAGTCATCTATATATAGACGTGTGACTGACTCATCTGTCACATCATCTGTGACGCACAGCCAAAACACAAGATGATGACAGCTGTAGGACAGTTACAAGAACGGACGGAAAGTATGATGAGAGATAGTATTTATATTATTAGGCTGCTATTTTACCCTGGTATTCTGTAAAAGCACGGTCAAGCCGACACACTCGTACTGCAACTATAATATAGCTGTACAAAATATAGTTTGAAATAAAATATATTCAGTTTTATTGTGAATGTAGACGTCGTTTATTCTCTATAGAAAACTCTACATCTCCAAACTAAATTGTTCCGGTCGATTGCGTCCCAAAACATGAATGTATATTTTATTCTTAACAATCAAGAACAAAGCCTCTATATTTTTATAAAACATCGCTTCGTAAGTCGACTTAAAAATAAGAGCTTCACAATGTCACTGTATATTTTTGTATATTTTTCGTACAAATGTTACACCCTTCGTTATTTGTGATCAAACTTTAATGATTATTTCTTTTAATAAACAAAATCAGGCCTTTCTTTGTGAAATTATATTATATTAATAATGTTATAATTAATTAGCTAAGATTTGCGTAAAAATAAGAACGATGTGTGTTATATAGTTTGAAGAATCGATGTCGATGTGTTATTAATATAAGAGTTGGCAACATTTAATTTATTAATAATTAGATTTCATAATAATTTTTTTTGAATTTTAATTAAATTAATAGGTTTAGAAGAAATTAATTTTTTTTACCATACTTATTTTCAACGGCGAGTAAAAAAATAAACATTTCTATTTAGTACAAAAAATTACGAAATGTTTTTATTTTTTAGTAAAGAACTTAAAATAATTCAATTTAATATATCAGAATATTCTTCATAGATTTTTAGATATTTGATGTAATATAAAATATCCCTAGATTCTGTTGATGTGTTTATGTATAGTTTATATATTATATACAGTATATGAATTTTTAATTCATTTTATAATTTCCATAAATTTCTTTATTAGTATGCGACTTCAGCTGCATGTATAGAACACAACTATAGAGTTCATTGCGTCAACCTTTTCATCAAATTGTTCAATGAATAACTAAAGTCTCATTACCCTCTCCTTTCTAAAAGAGTTCTGGTATAATTCACTATGCTAATACTTCAGAGGTTAACACATCTCCTGTCTTCTTTGTTGGAGGTTGGTTGCAGGTGCGTATATACTGCAACAACCGCTTACCATGAGGTATAGACTTTCATGTCATCTGTCACTCTTATATTTTACATTTATAAAGCTTTTCGTGGACTTATTTCTTCTAATTATGCCGTCAAGTGGAGAAAAAAGTAAAAAAATACAATATAGATAACAGAAATACTTATTGAAAATCATTTTTTACATTTACCACTGGTACGAAAAAAAACTTCTGTCTTGGGATGAACCAGCTGGACTTTTTTTTTAATAAAATTATTTTACAACATATTATTTTATACAATTGATATGAAAACTTTAGAAAGAGCATGGCAGTGATCTACTCATTACCAGGAGTTATTGTTTTTATCAATCATGTACTCTTTAGTAGTATAACAACCTTATCACAGAATACACCCTTAATAAACAATTTTGCTTACTAAAATGTTTTAACTTTTTGATAGATAAGGAATAATATATTATACTATCTACTACACTATATTATCTGAGACTTTTTTGTAAAAGCGTATACACTGTCTCTTAAAGGAATTACTGAATCTCCGGAATCGGGTAACTGGTAAAAAACTGGTGAAGCTAACTGGGAGTAGGGGCAGCAGTTATATTGTGGAGTATACACATTGTATAAGTGTTGTAGACGTGACGACGTGTCAGAGTTCCAAGCATGTCGTGTGACATGTTTACCGAAAGGAAAAAAATAAGATGTTTGACAGCTGTTTACTTTTCATAAAGCGCAAGTCTATAATAAGTATCGTAAGTGTATGGGGTATTGCTGCCATATATGAGCTGGTACTGCAAAATGCCACCTAGCAGCTTTGGACTCAATGGAAAGGCGTGCAAATGAATGAAGAGGCTTATTGGTGTCCCGAATTTGGTTAAAACCAATCTTACCAGCCTAAAACACAGGCGCAAAGTAGCCAGCCAGCCTTTCGTTTTTCTACAGGATGCATTTCGGAGAGTGGGCGCAGGAATCAGATAATTTAATTCCTCTTTCTCCCTCCCATCATCAGACAATCACACATCCAGCCAGTCTCCATTCTTGCGCTAGCCTAAAGCAATAATCTTTTTCCCACTTATTTTTAGGTAAAGTTATTAATGTTAAAACGAACGACGTTGACCTATTGAACTCGTAATTTTTTATATATTTTTTTTCATTCTAAACTTGTTGCTATTAATTCTGAACGCACGCAAAGTACAGTCTCGCTAACTTTGCAGTTAACTTAAGCCGCCGCCGGTGTAGTCATTATCTGGTACTCGAGTTGCTCAGCGACTGCTCTATACAGCGTTAGTTTCATATGGTTAACTGCATTAAAAATTTCTCATTTATGTGAATACATTGCTTTAAAATACCTTGCCGTATTTAAACTAACCGCAGACCGTGCAGTGTAAGGATATCCACTAACCCTCGTCGCCCGCCGGCGTGGTGAGAGGAAACTGAGGGTAATAAATAGGGAGATAGACAGCGGCGTCTTACTTATAACAGCTAAATACATAAAATACCGCAGTACGTGCTAGGACCACATGCATCAGTTATACATAAAGACTCACGCCTGTCACTCAGAAGGGTAGACAGAGACTACAGACTTCCGTTTGGCACGATCCTGACACACCTCTCTCGCCTCCTTCACATCCATATACCTACGCATACATGCTCGTCGGTTAAGAGTACTCCTAATTTGGCCCAATATATCGCCAATTTGGTCGATAAACTTTCGTCTAGAGCTGCTATTCACTTCTGCAACATAAATTTGTTTTGTCACTTTTTCCTCATTCATTCTTTCCACATGACCAAATTACCGAAGCATTCCTTTCTTAATCCTGGTCGCAACATCATCTTGCAAACCACACTTCTTGTCTTATCACACAATTTCTCACCCTGTCACTCAGATTCAGTTTTAACATACTCCTTAACGATCGCATTTCTACTGCGTTTATTCTACTCTCTTGCCTCTTCTGCCACACCCAACTTTCATTACCATATGTTAAAGTAGGGATCCGCATAGCATTGTGAATTTCCATACGTGCTTTTTGACACATTCTAACTGTCCACAATAGAGTGAAATAGAGTAAATGAGGCCTATTTCCTCTATTTTAGTTATATTAGGTACTTCCCCCCAGACTTTCAAAGAGTAAAGACGTGTTTATAGTTTATTTTATTACTTGTATTTTCTAATAAATGCTGTCAAAAAATAGTGATAAAATATTAGGAGTGCATAAAGCCCGAGGCAGTTTACGAAGTGCTAATAACATCTGCGCCAGTGATTAATTTTCAACAAACTAAATTATATGTGTGAGTAAAACCATCACATTTACAATCAACAAATAAATAGGACACAGCATAAGACACCACACGTTAGTAAAACGATAAGAAGAGAAATGGTTATATTTTACTTGTACGGTTGCATTAGGTGTACGAGTTCGCAAATATACTGCGATCACACTTTCTAACTCATATTGTCCTAGTAATTAAACGTTGAGGCGTCTTTTACTTCAAAACCGGTTATACAATGCCGATCAACCGTACATCGCCGCCCGCTTCGCCCGCGTCTGTGAGCTCAGATGATACATCGCAATCGCAGACATCGCGGACGCGCGCAATTGACGCGACAGAACGGACGACAAAACTTCACAGTGAATCGGCGCCTGATATTCCATCGTTTACGTTAAATGTTACTGAGCGTAAAAAAAGGAAACATGACGGAGTGAATCCTAACATTATGTCTTATATGAGTGAAATGTTTTCAGTTTATACGAATGAACAAGCAAAGTATTTCAAAGATTTACAAACTATAGTTTCTAGTATAAAAGAACAGAACGATGAATTAAAAAAAAGAACGTCGATACTATGTCAATCATGTATGATGAGTTTCTATCACGGATATCCGTTCTAGAGGAAGAGAAAAGGCAGGATAGATATATTATACAACAACTACAGGAGAAAATAGAAAATATGGAAAGGAAGTCCAGATTTCCGGGAATAGAAATAAGAAACATACCTAAAATATCATCAACAGAGCTTGACCTTACAGTCCCACTACTTGGTGGTAAAGTTCACGGATCCTTGGCTCGTGCTGGTAAGGTGAAAGGTCAGACACCCAAGGTTGAGAAACAGCAAAATAAAAAGAAGAAGACTGGTCGTGCCAAGCGTAGGATCCAATACAACAGACGATTTGTCAATGTTGTGCAGACATTCGGACGCCGTCGTGGACCCAACTCTAACTCTTAGATTTATGTTTTGTAAATAAAATGCAATTATAACATCTTTATGCGTCAAAAAAAAAACAATGAAGAATTAAAAGAAAATCTATGTAGCACTGTTAAAAAATTAGGGGGAGTGTTTGAATGTAAAGGGGGACGCCCATTTTCGGCCATGGAACGCCCAACAATGTGAATTTGTTAAAAAATTATATCTTTATTTATGGTTATGAATCGTGGTATTCATTTATCCTCAAACAATGGGAATATTTTTGCACAAATTAAAAGTACCGGAAACATAATAATAAAAATTAGGTAAATCATTATGTCATTAGTTTGTGAATAAAAAAAGTGTTGCCAATCACAAAACACATTTAAAAAATCGATTCTCTTTTTCGATCGATTATTTACGGTGTCATCATTACAGTGCTAATATAATTTTTAAATAATTATGATGTTACGATAATTAAACAAGCGAATTACTAGCTGATTTCTAATGAATTCTTTAGAGAGTAACAAATGCTACGGCACAATTTAACTGTTAATCTTAACCGATCTTCTTTGAAAACAGATAAGAACTGTTATTCTTATCTGTTTTTAAAGAAGATCGGTTAAGTTATTCTTATCTGTTTATAACAACACATTTAAAATAGAATCATGTTATGATAACGAAGCAAGTTAGTTTCCAGCTGATTTACCATGAATCCTTTAACCTTTTGAGCGCCAAAGTCGCCTATACTTGACCAACACCTGCGGGCCCTGAGCGCCAACGACGTCTATAGTTGACAAAAAACCCGGCTCCGAAAAATATGAAATATAGATATTGGAAAATTATTACAGGTATTTTAATTCTACACTCCTCAAAATAGGAATAACCCAGCAACATGTGAGTATAAAAAACAAGTCTTCTAGAGCCACAAGTACTAAGAAACATTGAACTAATAAAAATGGATTTTTATCTAAGCAAATACTATGTCCAGCACGCCAAAGTCGTCTATGGTTGACCGCTAGTGTCAAACGCGGGAGGCATAGATTTCTTGAAAACTATCCCAAATTCAGCTCAATGGTGTTTTTAATGGTGTTTTTTTTTCTATTATTATTGATATTTGAATAAAATTAAAGGTTATAAACATAAAACTATAATTAGCTACATGAATAAAAAAAATGTTATCAGATTATCTTCGCATAATAAATCTAATATCTCAACTCTAGCGCATCTTTAGCGCGTCATCGAAAATCAGTTCACTGGGCACCGTGATCAAGGATAGACGACACCCTGATGACGTCATAAGTGATTACCGAGAAAAGTAGAGCAATGCATCATGAACGATTCCTCAGAACTCATTCGGATTTTGGAAAGCGTCGATGATGATGAATTTTGATTTTTGATTGATGAATTGAATTTTTGATTGATTGGTGAACAAATATGTTTATTTATTCCATGACCAAGATTTTAGTAATATAAGGCTGATTTACCTAGTGCGAATAATTATATACAATTGTTGATTAATGAATAATTATGTACCTTTTTTAATAATAATACAAAATTACAATTAATGTTTTTTTTACTTAAGGTGTGAAGAGCAATTTTTCATTTTGTGTTGTGCCATTTTCTTTCTCAGTCTCAAAATCATCTAGCAGCATCAGCATCATATCAAATCCCCATTGTCATAAGAGTGTAAGACTTTTCTTCTGTGCGTCACTTGGCCTACGCCTTCCCCGACACATAAAATATTATGAATCGATGTCTGTATATTTCGGTTAGATCGATTTTGAAATCGATACACAACATTCTAAGAATGTTTCAAAAGGGAAGGCAGCTACGCCGTTGTCGTCCAGTCGCGACAGTGTCGTCATTAGGATGGAGAGTAGTGCTAATGTTTACTACTATTTTATTGTTATTGTTTGTTTTTTATTTATGTTTATATGTACAAAGTACATATATAAAAAGAGTGGAAGACGGCACAAGATTAAATAAAACATACAGTTTATTAAGAGTCATTTATAGCATAAAAAACCAATAAAAACAAGTTATTTCACGTTATCGATATATCAACTCTTGGCAACACTATTTTGTTTTGGCGCTTTGGCGTACAGGACACGGTAATGCGTTTTTGGCGTGGCGCTCAAAAGGTTAAAGCTTAACAAAACGCAACTGCACAATTTTTATCAATTTCAAGACAAAAACAACCGTTGTTATCGGCTTGGTTGAAAACGTTAACAACCGCCTTCACATCTGTAGTTATGATAATTAAATAAGCGATTTAATAGCTGATTTACAATGAATTCTATGCAGTATAACATAACGCTACTGCACAATATAACTGTTATTCTTATCTTTTCTTAACAATACATTTAAAATGAAATCATGTTACGATAATTAAACAAGTGAATTTCTAGCTGATATACCATGAATTTTTTAGAGATTTCATAAAACACTACTGCACAATTAACTGTTCTTAAAAATACACTTAAAATAGAATTTAAATAAAAAAGGAAGATACATTTTAAAAAAGCGAGCAGAAGTTAAAACACCTCCAAGATTATTCTCTTTTTTATCAAATTATTAATCGAATAATAATCGAATCGCTATGGATATTATGATGTTATGATAATTAAACAAGCTAATTACTAGCTGATTTACTATGAATTCTTTAGAGTACAATAAAATGCTACTGCACAATTTAACTGTTATTGTTATCTGTTTTAACAATACATTTAAAATGGAATCATGTTATGATAATTAAACAAGTGAATTTTTAGCTGATTTACCATGAACTGTTTAGAGCATAACAATACGCTACTCCACATTTTAACTGTTCTTAAAAATACGTTTAAAACATAATTTAAAAAAATAAAAGAGAATATATTTTAAAAAAGCGTGTAGAACTGAAAGCGAAACTCAAATATTATTATTTTTTCATTAAATTACTAATCGAATACAAATCGATATCGTTTCGTTGTATTTATGTTAGTTATGTGGCAACATCAAATCTGACAGCTATAGGAAATATGTCATGTGAAATGAAATCACAATTCAACAAGTAAAATTAGTGAATTCACAACTAAATAGTTGCCATTGTGTTATTTTGTTTGTTATTTTTCAAATAAATTCTCAAGAACTCATATGGAGTGAGATTGTCGATCACATTATAGTGTGACAACAGTTAAAAGTAAGTGTTCAACAGTTTTTAATTTATTAATTCTAGTGCTGATATTTGATAGTGATGAATGTATGAAATGATGAAGTTGTTTTATTTTTTAACATATGCACAAGCTATACCTGACAAACAAAATAGCTTATTTGTAACACGGCGATAAGATTAGCTAGCTAACACCAGATAGTTACGAAATGGACAATTTTTATCAAATACCAAGAAATAAGACAGTCGATTTTTAATTGTTTTTGGACTACTGGTAGGCAGTCAGTCCTTAATTATTAAATAATATAGAGCATTAAGTTTTAAGTAACATTTACCTATATTTGAGTTTAAAGTAAACAAATCTATTTTATTTTGTTCACTTTGTCTTATTTTTTTTATTTAATATTATTTCAGTTGCCATCGTCATCGCGTGAGTGTCATGATTGCGAAGAATTGATAAAGCAGCAACACGTTAAACTTTAGAACGGGAACCATCTGAATCATCTAGTCCATCCTTGTAGCAATCTAAAGTGAGTAATGTATTGAACCTAGAACAACAAAGCTTAGATCATACATCATACAATATACTGCTGCCTAATTTTGTAAGAGCACCACTCACACAAAATCAATGTTTTTTCCTGGTTGTAACAATTCCAATCAACTCACTGTTCCATCAGCATTGCGGGTATGTATTTATATATGTATATTTGTGAATACAATTACTATGTACCTCCAGAATGTAGAATCAGTAACTACCATTTAAATAGTAACTCTTGGTATTTACTTTTAGAATTAATATATAACCATATTAAAACATTTAGTGTAGCACAAATTATAGATTTTTCTACATTATTGTAAGATAATATTTACCATCATATAGACTTTGAAAATATTTACAATATGCCCGAATATACTGTACATTATTATCTACGCTTATCAAAGGCACAATGCCAATAAATTCTGTCTGAAGTGCCCAAAATGTCAAGTAAACATAGGGGATGCTTTGCACTTGCTGTATATTTGATGAAAGTAAGAACAGGAGATAGTGATGAATGCATATAGGCATTATTGCAAGTACCAAGAAACAAATTAAAGCGGCTCATGAATATGGCCCAAGAAATATTAAATCAGGATGTTGTTCCTATGAATTTTATCCATCGTTACCACTCTCTGTGCCAAATTCTATTCAGTAATTATGATATTATATCTGAGGCAAATAATTTCATAGCTTTCCTAGATGTTTTTGTTATCCAAAATCCTAACAACATCATAGGTCACACTGTGTATAGAAAAAAAGACCCATACAAACTGATATTTAAGCGGTGAATCTCACCATAATCCTTCACAGTTAGTTACCATGAGCAAATCTTTGTTACAGAGAGCATATGGGATCTGTGAGAACAAGCACCTGGCCGCGGAGCTTCAGCACGTCAAGCAGGTTCTGCACAAAATCAAGCTTCGGGTCCCACGTCTTCGTCACAGTGACCGAGTGAAGCCGACCGCAGTTGAGCGTGTGCCTGCTGTACTACCGTATGTCAAGGGTGTCACCCCAACCAGATAGACATACATCAGATTTGATAGACCACAAATCCTCGTTAAAGAACATTAATTCCTACCAAGGATGATATGTGAGGCTACTGAAATTAAAAAACATCCTAATTTCAGTAGAGAAGGCGGTTGGGTACTACCACCTGCTTGGGACACTATAATTAATAAAATTAAAACAAACCCCAAGCATACCACTGCAAGACTTAAAGATAGAGTAAGTTCAATCTGCGTAGATTGGACTATAAAAATAATAATAAAAAGCTGAAGGTACTCCATGTCCCAATACTGACATTGGGATGGCAGTCACCTCAGTACCCCGTGACCATGGGTGCTATAAAGC